GCCAGCTGCCCCTCGAGCCGTCATTAACTGACAGGCTATTTTCTTAACAGGCATCAAAAGCCAGAGTGAGCCTTTCAAGTGAGCTATGCTGAAGAAGCACACAGTGGCTGTACAGAACAGCACATACAGTTAGTTATACCTATAAAACACCAGCCACTGATCCCTTCAGGTGTTACTGCAACTACTGTAGTTTTAATACCTGCACAGTTTCATTCTCAACAGTTCCCTGGCACGGATGTAAGGCTGCTCCATCAGCACTCAGAGGGAGCTAATGGAAGGATTTCTATTTCTGCTGTACGAATTTCTGCTCCACGGATCACTTAAGTGAGGAATTTTTTTTATGTTGAGGTTGGGGTAGGAGGTGATAGTTTGATTGAAGCCAGCAAGCTAAAAACTACATGCACACATGTATCAGCAAACCCTTAACAACATCTCTTCCAACAACATGCAGCAACCTAAACAGCTGATACTAAACTATTTTTGATGATTCTAATGAGGCCCGAAATTTTTTAAAAGCAAAAAGGCACAATTTCTGCTAGGCAAAGACCATTTTTCCTCCAAAAAAATTAAACAAATAAAAATTATTCCCTCAAATACATTACACAGACTGTCAAAAGTCAACAGGTTTTTTGAAACTGAGCCCTTTAATCTGGTTTGAAAAACTTGGAGCCTGGATCTTTCGTTCATACGAACAGGCAAATTTCCCTTGAAGTCAGTTGTGCCGGTTCCTATCAGCTCAGAGAATCTCTGCTTTAGGATTACAGAAATGTTTAATTTTTTTAAGGGCACAGGGGAGACGGAATAGCAAGTCCACAAGCTGTGGCCCTGCCTAAGTACCACTGTGCCATGCTGCTTTGCCATTGAAGGTCCAGCTTCAAGGCTGCAGATCTGTCAGTGACCAAACTTGATGGACCACCCATTGGCCTTTTATTAAACAGCACTTGTTCCACCTCTAATCCTATCACTAGAGTAATCAAAGCTGCCATGTCCCAGGGTTTGATGGAACAGCAGGACCTGGGAAACGAAGACTGATTTTGTTAACAAAGTAATTTCTGCCTGGTGAATGCTGTCTCATTGCTAGAAAGTAGGGAGACAGGGTTTATTTGTGCAGAGAATGAGGCGGTAAAGAAACGAAAGGGGAAGAATGGTGAAGTGTGAAGTTTAATCTGGCACAGTCTAAGATTTCTTTCTTTGAGGCTGTCTCTGATCCAATCAACACCGGTTTGATATTTAACATCTCCCCCTGCAGTTTGAAATGATACCAGCCAGAGAATAACTCAGAAAACCCGACTAGAGGAGGAAGAGAAAAGGGGCTGCTCACAGCTCCCCTCTGGCCTAACAGCTCCCTGACAGATCCATCAGGATAGTCAGACCCTACACAAAATAGCCCTTACAAACCCTGGGATTAAAGGCATCTGGCATTAGCTGCCGGCAGACTCTCCCTGCAGTCAGAACTTGCGACAGGATGGGAGAAAGTTTTTATTTTTAACTCCAAGGAAGGGACATTCACAATCTCTCAGCTGAGGATCCTGCTATAGGGAAGGCTTTGAGCTCCAGCTACAAGAGCCTGTTCCGCAGGGCAGAGTGGTCTGACTCTCAGTGGGGATGAGATGTCAGCTGAGGACACACAGCAGCTGCCAGCCAAGGACACACAGTACCTGGGTTACGAGCAGTCCCTGCAGCCCATGGCCCATCGTCTGCCCTCTGTGAGGGAAGGACTGTCAGAGGACACACAGATCCTCTCCCTTTAGCATCCTCCTCGCTCAAACAGCAGTGTGAGGAGATATTTTTCACCACAGAACTGTGCAAGGGTCTTAAAAAGGAGGAGGAATTTGGAGCATCTCCTAACCTCAAAGCCCACCTGGCCCATCCTGTGCTGGCTGCAGTGCCTCTGCCTAGGATCAAAGACAAGGCCCTGAATGAGCTCCATCTGCCTTGCCACCAGCTTTTCTCAGTCCTGGACCACTTTTTGCACTGTAAATAAGCAGCTATATTGTCAGATAGAAAAGTTATCTGCTGCTTCTTTCTGCATTTTTTAACTTTTTCTATCTTGCCTTCAACGAAACCCTGAAACCACTTCTACCAAGAAGTGTTGAAATTTCAATCTCACCTACATCCAACTTCAATTCTCCTGTTGTGAGGCTCCCAGCTGAACTCTTTGCTGTGATTTGGAAGCCTTGCCACCAGCAACAACACCCAGATTTGTGCCACCAGCAGCTACAGAGACACAGGGGAAGAGCAAAGATGCTCCAGGAGTGTGAGCATCCCACTGCATTCCCAACGTGCAGTGGGAAAGCACAGCAACAGGAACAATGCACGTTTGGGAAAGCAGCTTCAAAACTACCAGCAAAAACTCCAAGGGGGGTACAAAATCCCAAACTACAAAGTTTGGGGGCTTACAACTAAAAACAATGCATTGTGCTCTTACCTGCAAGAGCTAGCTCTCCAGGAAGCAGCCAATTATATCAGCCACCTTAATCTTTTCATCCGGTTAAGACAATCAACATTTCAAAGCGACGCACAGAACGTTTCAAAGATCGTTCCTGGTCAAAAATGCAAGTGTATCCGCTTTCTTTCAGAGCAGATCAAAACCAAGCACCACACCGGGACCACTCCTAGATTTCTTCCTCCTCGCAGTATCAGATTAACAGATGCGGTGCGTGTAGTCAGATTAAATATTTGCAGTAGCACAAAGCTGCCTTTGAGGGGGAGAAGTAAAAAAGCCTTTTTCTTCTTTAATTTGCTAAGGGCAAAAATACTGGACTTCGGGGACGGGGGAAACAAAAGCACTGACACGGTTCAGCAAGGCTCCATTTTAAAACCTGAACTCTAAGTGCTGGAATTACAAGCAGTATCTCTGTAACAGTAATGCTGAAGACAGGTAAAACCTGCTGATGCCCTTAGCAGATTCAGGACCGTAATTTATCACAGCTGTTCCCATCAAACTGTGCAAACACCCTACAAGACAAAAGCTGCTTAATTTCTGATTTCCATTTTAGTGTGTTTTAATTATGTGTTGCTTAAGGAAGGCTCTAAAATGTGGAATTAGGAGGTGAAACCTAGCAATAGCAATCCACTCCACTAAATTAGCACAGTAATACAGCGAGCAGTAGGACTGCCAGACAGCATGATAACTTTACAAATTACTATTGTTAGCCAACCCGCCAGGTGTCAGGATGCATGAAATCTCGAGGAAGCGAGAAAATAAATAACTGGGTGGTTTTGCTTAATGTTGTCTCATGGTGTTCTGGTGGCCTTGTTCCCACAAAAAGCTTCAGTGTATGAAAAATGCCCCGAATGCCAATGAGCAGAAGTAGCAATGTCAATTCTCTGCAATAATTACAATGTAATTTTCTGTATTGACTAAAATTTTTTTGCATAGATAATTTGCCTTTACGTGCTGGTAGCACTGACACTTTGGCTGTTCTTTTCTAGTCTAAATTGAAAGGGAAACTTTTGTTTCTGCTTAAAACATAGCAAATAAGAGTAAAACAAAGTTATGGTGAGAGCAGCTGTTGAGTGTGATGCTCTCTCCCTTTTCCTGTCCCTCTCACTGCTCTCACCTAAAAAGAGTGCAGTATGATTCATTTCTGAAAGGTTTCCCAAAGGTACATCTTTAATCAAGTGCTTTCACTTGCTTGATTCTAACTTCCATTTCTGACCTATACAACCACATGCTACTGGATGTTTGCAGTGGTTAATTATTTTTACCTCACCTTGAAGAAGGAGTTCAGCAGCAAGGATAGGCATTTACACCTTTTAAACAGAAGAAAGTAAAACAAATTCCTTGCTTTGCATGCATGCTAAACAATGCAAACACTGAGGGGGATTTTTAGATTTTTTTTTTTTTATCCTTCTTGTAATTACCCCAAAACTGTATGCAACCAATCTTCTCCTATGCCTGTCCACAGGCAGAATTAGTCCTCTAGCTGAGAACATCAGATGAATCATATGTAAGTGTAAGCTGCACTCTTCAGAGAGTCCCCATTACAGGGGAGAAGGCGCTCTAAGGACATTTAATCACACCAAAGATCAGCCTTTAATCCTTACTTGCACATCACCAAGAATTCTTTTGCTCAAACTAGGACAGTAAGATACAGCTGGAAAGAGCTGATTTAAAATTAATGCTGAAAGGAAGGCTAAAAATGAAATATTGTAACCGTAACTGACACCATTTTAAATTTCCTCTGGATTATTTGTTTTGTTCCACACACATTCATTTCCTGAATTTCTAGTAAATCTGATTTCGTATAAACAGTTTCACAAAGCAAGTCAATAGCTGTGCCTGTGCTCCTGATTAATCCACTGAAATGAAATAGACCTTATGGCTTAGTGTTTGGTTGTTTAAAGCTAAATCCACTGAAAAAATTCTGGAGTCCAGTTTCACCAATAACTTTTGTTTCTTAATCTACATCCTTTTCTTTCTTTTTTTTCTGAACTTTACCTGTTCTAAAATGAAAAAAGTCCATACGGACTGAGCATTTAATTTCCCCCAGACCACAAGGACAACGTGTGCCCATTTCTTCTGACCCGCAGTAACTATTAAAAGACAACCAACAGTTTGCACATACTTAAATCCATTTGAACAATTGCTGAATTTCTATTTCCATTGTTCTTGCTTTATCCTCTCCGTGACAAGCACTGCAGAGCTGCTTTATTTAAAAACAAACAAACAAAAAAGTACTTTTTACTCCACTCTGTCAGCTGAGGAGAGGCGTGGAAGCTTCCCTCGCAAGTGACAAGCCAGCGGACACACACATTCACACCCTGCACATTTGCCTCTCCAATAAATAATAGACAAGATAGATGCACAGCGCTTGCTGGGCACATCACAGCCTCTCTGAACGCAGCACAACGGAGATCCATCAGCCCAATGCAAAGGCCCACACTGCAACACATCTCACCGCAACAGGTTTCAGGTTCACCTCAGTAAAGCAACTGAAATAAGAGAGTGGCTGCAACCTCCTGGAACAAGCCACGAGGCCCAGAAGCCTCCTTACCTGGGAGAAGTTGAGCCCGTTCAGCGGGTGACACTGCTCCTCCACCCTCTCCACCGCGCCCGTCGTCTTCTTCATCCTCTCAGCCTCCTGGGCGAGGTAGAGATCAAGCACCGGCACTCCACGGGAGCGGATGTCGGTCTCTGTCAAGGAGTTCACCATCAGCATCACCCAGACGGGCCTCTTGCGCTCCCAGTTGCCGGCGATGGCGTTGAAGAGGTAGTCAGCGTAGAGCCCTTTGCCCCGCTGGTCCGGGGTCATCCAGTGGGGCAGCATCAGCTTGATGTAGTCCAGGTGGCGTTTGAGGCGGCGGTAAAGCTCACGGGGCAGCACGTCCTGCAGGTTCTCCCCGTGGGGCAGCATCTGGCAGCTGGCCAGCCCCGAGATGGTGTAGGGGTCGGTGAGATCCAGCTCGAAGTAGACGCTGGAGCTGGCGTGGAAAGCGGCCTTAGAGTTGTCGGGGATGAAATCCCACACCCGCGTGTAGGGCACGTGGATGGTGCCGAAGAGATAGGCGGGGGGGTCGCGGCGGATGGTCCAGAGGAAGGAGTTCAGCTCTCCTTGCTGAGGGGAAGGAAAGCAGAGGACAGTCAGTGGCGGAGGGTCAAGAGCCACTGCAACAAGAACAAGCGACCCACGGGTGGCAGGGAACGCTGGGGGACCGTCCAGCACAGCCCCAGAGCAACACGAGCGCTCCATACCCACGCTATCCACACACACACACACCCCACCAGCACACCGCACCCCTCACACGGGGCACCCGCGCACACCTGCGGAGCCACGCGTGTCCGCGGCGCCGCGTGGGGCAGCGCCTCCCCGCGCCCCTCTCCGCCCCCCCGGCTCCGCGCGGCCCGGCTCACCGAGCGGGGCAGGTCGCACTGCCCCGTGTCCATCTGCTCCCGCCGGGCCGCGGCGTCGGGCAGGAAACCCCCGAAGACGAAGCAGATCAGCGTCAGGTTGAGTTGCATCCCGCTTCCTCTCGCTCTCCTCTCCTCTCTCTCCTTCCCAGATGAGGCTTTTTGGATTTCTAGGATCTTTTTTTTTTTTTTTTTCCCCCCCCCTCCTCCTGCTTTTCCCCCTTGTTTCTTTTTCTTTTTTTTCTTTTTTCTTTTTTTTTTTTTCTTTTTTTTTTTTTTTTATTCAAACAAACTTTGCCAGTCCCATCTGCATCTGACAAGTGCAGGGGGAAGGACTGGCCGCCCCCTCCCTCCCATGCTCTCCCCCCTCCCGCCCTTCCCACCCCCACCCCCTCTGGCTCCGGGCTTGTCAGAGGCGCTGGATGCTTTGGGGAGGACGGTTCTCATCGCCAGCCTCCGCCATGCTTTGATTTTGCAGGCTGGAGAAGCTCCCTTCCCGCCCCGCCGGTTCGGGAGAAGGTTGGGAGGGGAGGCGGGAATTAGCCAAAATAATAATAATAATAGTAATTAAAAAAAAAAAAAGAAAGAAAAAAAGGAAAAAAAATTCAGCACAGCGGCGGCAAAGAGAAGCTCCCGCGGAGCCCCGGGCCCGGAGGACGCTGCTCGGCGGGGCGGCGGCGCGCACCGCGCCGGGGAGGCCAAACTCGGGCTGCGGCGGAAAGTTTCGCGCAGCCGCCCCGGCCCGCCCGCGCCTCCCGCCGCCGTTTGGCCGGGCCGCCGCCAGGGGGCGATCGCTCCCCAGCGCAGCTGACGGAGGGGCGGTGGCGTCCCGCTCGCCGGCTCAGCACCTGTGTAGCGCTTCCAAAGCGGAGTTTCGAGCTTCCCGTCCCGCACGGCGTCACACAGTCACCCACGGGGGCTCTTCCCGAGAAGGAACGTCTCCTGAGGCTGCTCACAGCCTTCCGCTGGCTGCCGAGGCGGGAGGCGACGTGTCCTCACAGGCACTGCCTTCCCCCCCTACCTCAGAACATCACTGTAGCAGAGGGCACATAGAGGATATGCTGGCTGCACCCTGCCCAGCTTCTCAGCCATCCCCACCATCTTGGTCACCTCAGCACCTCACAGGGATCAAAGCAAACCCCTCTGAACGGTTCTGTTCACATCACTAATTATGCAGCTTCCACGCAGGAGGAAGTTGCAGGACACAGGCTAGTTCTTGCTGGCAGCACAGCCAGGATCTTTCTTTAGAGGCAGCAGGAACCAGGGCAGGCTGGAAATGTGTGGTAACAACCATTGGTTACCTCAGCATCCTATCAGGGCACTAAGAACCACAGAGCAGATGGGATCCCAGCCTTCCCATCACCTCTATGACCATAAAACTTCCCCAAAACTGCAAAATTTCATGCTGTTTGGAGAAGAACCAAAGCTACCAGGCTTTCTTTGTGAAATATTAGTTGCTAGTGCCAGGCAAGGTCCTGGGCTCCAGAAGCTTTCCTGGCCATGGCAAAGAAATATTTCTAAGTGCTTCCCTGAGAGTGAAATAGAGGATAGGAGGCAACAAGGTTGCAAAGTGCATGGATGACAGGGCAGTGCTGGTGGCCTGGTGTCCCCTGGGACACCTCCAGTGTTGTGACTGGCATTGGAGAAGATGCCCAAAAAATGATCTGAAAGACAACATGAGGCCTTCAGTCATGGACACGCGTGCCGTGAGGCAGGGCGACTACCCTCACCAGTGGCATACATATCAAAGCACCCAGAGCAAGAATAAACAAATGTCTATGGCTCTGTGCTCATCTTCCATTAGCCAAAAGGCAGGTGTGGTTGGGGGGAGGGAGACATAGCCAGTTTTCCAGCCGTTTCCCTGAACTCAACCCTGATGTTGCAAGAGCTGCCTAGCTGTGAAAACACAGCCTCGCCTTGATTTATGCTACTTGTGGGCAAGATGACTAAGAAAAAGGGGAAAGAAAAAAAAAAAAAAAAAGAGCAGAACAGGACCAGAAATCCCAATGGGAACTCAGTGTGGGTGTGTACCAATTTGGTGGGACAGTCAGGTTGGGGAAACTCCAGCCAAAGCTGCGAGCGGTTAGGAAGAAGAGACCACAAACCACATGATATGTATCATGATGTGCCACTTAAGATTCAAAGCATGCCACAGCATTTTTGAACATTACTCTTAGGTACCAGGAAAAAGAAATTAATTCTTTTGTGTAATTGTAACAATTTTTTTTTTTCTCCTTCAGATGAGTTCCATATGTCCTCATGATTTTTTTTTTTCCTTTAAACACAGCACTTTAGAACAAATCTTAAGTAACATTTAGCCTGCTCCTAAAGTAAATATTTACAAAAACATTACATAATGGCTCTGATCTTTGGAAAATGTATATTGCTGCCTACCTGCTACTGTTTTGTTCCTATCGGGAATAATAGAGAAGCTTTATCATAACCCCCAAGGCCGTAAAAGCAGTATAACAATGTGATTAGCAGTAATCAGATGGGAAATACTATTAAAAGCTTTGAAGAGATAAGAGGGATAAATGGCAAAGGGAAGGTTATGTTATTTTGTTTGTACAAATTTCCAGAAATCTAGTGGGGGAAATAGGCTTCTAATCTTACAAAAGCTGTATTGTTGTTTTGGAAGTGTTATAATGTTGTCTGATATTTATGTCATGTATCATCTTCAAAGAGCTTTCCTGAAGAAATATTAATCATTTCAGCAACCACTTAAAGGCAACCACTTCAGCGGTGCAGCGAGGCAGTAACTTAACAAGTAAGTTGTAGTAAGTCAGGAAGTGAGGACAGCCAGATTCAGCAAGGAGCCCATGTGGGCACAAAAAATACTTGTGGAAGCCTTAACAATATCTTTAATCAGGCAAAGCAAAACCCCATGGAATAGAAGGCATATTTATTTGTTAGTGAGAAACTGGCATTGGAACTCGTAACTATGGTGAGTTTCCAACAGGCAAGAGATACTGGCTCTTGGAGAAAACAGTTTGTGAAGGATCAGTATCTATGTGCAGGAGAGTGTAATTCTTTTTTATTTTTTAAATCAGAACGTGCTCCTTACAGGACTAACTGCCCTTTTGTCTCTTCTCTCACCTTTACTCCCAGGTGAAATACTGTTGGCTTGTGTGCTGTCTGTATTTCTATCATGCTGTACTTTCTTTTGAAGTATTTCAAAGAACTTACTGGATTTTAAACTCTATTTCTTGCACCTTTTCTTTAATGAGGGACTCTGAACCACACATTCTCCCAGAAATTGTGCTGTGCAAAACTGGAAGTCTGAGCTCAGCTTTTCCTTTGTCCTTTTCCTACAAGTGAAGCTGGAGGTGTCTTTTGCCATCTCTGGTAGGAGCAGAAAATCCCTCTTTTTGTATGCTGCAAATCACAGAATAATTTCAGTTCTAAGGCATGTCAAGAGCAATGTCATCCAAATGGCTTTGCTCAAAGAAGGGTTAGACTCCATATCTGATCAGGTTGCTCAGGTACAAGTAAGAACCCTAATTGGATTTCTGTCTTGTGCACAGGTGGCATAATATGTAGCTGCCCTGAACTCATAAGTTAACAAGCCCAAAGCATTTGCACTGCTAGCTGTCATGCCATCACCTATGTGCCATGACACCCGTGCTGTGAGGCATCTAGCAGGTACAGATTTTCCTGCAGAAGATTGATTTTGATGGTAGCAGTTGTATTCATGTGTAACATCACTGTTCAGTCACATAATTCATGATTCAAAACACACACTTGTCAGAAGAACAAGCCTCTGCTTAAGGCTGTCTGCTCAATTATCGTAACTGGGTTAACATGTTTTACATCTTTTGTTTCTATTGCAACCAATATAACATATGATGTAGTATTGTTCTCAGTCTTATATGTGCTATATGTGTATATATGTTGCCTGTTTGTCCTCATGTATCCAACTCAGCATCTTTTGTCACAGAGTTCCACAAACAACCAATCTAGCTCTTGAACAAAATCCCCCTCAATCCTAACATCCTCCCATCTGAGGGCCAGGTATGAATTCTGCAGACCAACTAGTATTAATAGCTTGTATTACATTTTGCAAAGCCTCACCTTGTGCTGTGGCCCCTGCAATGACAGACCACATCCTGTCTGAGACTAGGCACGTAAATACACTAAAGAAAACCTTTCCCAGTGTTAGATTCCACTGTGCATTCTCCCTCTGTATAAAGTTTAGTCTGTGCTGGTGTATGTATATAATGCAAGCATTACATGTGCATACACCTAGGAAAGAATACATATGTGTATTTATTTATATATATTGTGTTTACATACAAAAAATATATGCATACACACAAACAGAACAGTGGGATAGGCGAGTGCTATTAACACTTCACTAAATGCTTTCCAGCTTTTGTTCTCTCATTCTCTTAAAGATATTCTGGATTGGGACCAGCAGGGGCAGAAAGAACCTGCCCTGCTGTTCTTCTACTACAAGTACGGTGAATCCTGGCTTTTTGAGACCTTCCATCTGCAACTTGAGCCCTTGCATTACTGTCCCATCCCTTAAACATATTAAATCATAGAGATGCTGAAAGAAATGTCCAAAAGCAACTCATCTACCCAAGCAGGAGTAAGCTCCCTGCTGTGTAGCAAAATCTGTACTCAAGAAACAGCTACAATAGATCTTTTTCCTTGAGGCCTATTAAGCTGAGATTTCTTCCTGTTCAGCATAGTTCAATGTGCAGTTCCAGAAGTTCTATTTAATTTCATAAACAGTTTGAATGCTTTTTTTTTTTTTTTTGGAGAAAAATGAGAGTTCAGTTGCTCCAGAGTCCTTTAAGGTTCAACTCTTTAGCATTCATTTTGTTTTTCTGGTTTCCAGATTGCCATCACTTTCTACAGCCTTGATACAATTTTAAGTTTGCTAGTGCGTATTGATGAGAAGTCTGAGAGAAGTTTCATTAGCAGGGATGATTCTTCATTATAAAAAAGATAAACCAGCCTTCCAAGATAGCACTTCTGAAGGAAGATTCTATGTGCGACTTTAATTCTTTTAACCCAGGGAAGAATAACCCAAAGAATTGCAGTTAACACAGTGTGTGTGTGACTAGAACAGCTGGTTTACTAATAGCGTACCTGGTGGAGAATCTTAAAACATGCATTGTGTGCATGAAAATGTGATTCGGTTTAAAAACTGTTTTGTTTTGTTTTTCCTCCTTTTGGAACTGGTGGAATATGGTGCACTTTTGTTGTGTGTGTGTACGGGCCTGCTCCTTATTAAACTCATGGTACTTTTTCCAGTAACCACTTCAGTGCTGTGAATCAGCAGAAAAACACCATCTGTCGACTGGATAAACAAGAGTCTCATTAGCTAGAAGCTTAATAGATCACAAAGTCTCACCAAGTCCATTTTTATTATAATAAATTTCACCATGGAATGTTTTCTGATGTCACATGGCAAAACTGCCCTAAGTAAATAGCAGCTGCAGCATTTTCTATTATTTATCTTAATGTTTTGTGAGCTTAACAATAGAAGCTGTCCAGGATCTGAACTTCTCTAATCTCAAAGTGCTATATGTGTGTCTATGTGCTTAGTTTAATGTATCTTAAGCAAGTAGGCTTATAAGAGAGCTCATCCAGCCAGATGCAGCTTAAGTCAGTTGGATATCCATCATCCAAACCTGATCTTCATATCACTTAAGAGTAGTCAGTATGGCTAGAGCTCAGAAATAACTGTCAACCTCATTTGATCCACCTTACACCTAAACTATTTTCAGATACATTTTCCATAAACTTACATATTTGGGAAATGCTATACATTACATATACCAAATGTATGTGCACATATATATTTGCATTCTAATACCATATGTAGTATAGTAGATGTAGCAGTGGAAGGCATAACAAACTAGCAGAGCATCAAAGTCTAAAGCTACAGAGAGTAAGGATAAGCTCAGATGTAACAGCAAAAGACACAGAAACAAAGAAAGGAGAGCGAGCGAGCGAGCGAGCGAGCGAGCGAGCAACACTCTGCTTACCCTTAGAAGACCTCAGGTACATAACAATCTCCAGAGAGATACCCTTACCTTCCTTGCCAACCCTTAAATGAGGTCTGGAAAGGGCTGGATCCTGGCTCCACCCCTTCTAGTCACTCAGCTGCATTGCATGCACCTGAGCTTCCCTGGGTTGGCCACCAGGTGCTCCATCACTGCTTCAAGCTGTGACTTAGCATTTCCACTATAGCTATATATTATATATCATACTATATTATTTTGTACATTGATATTTCCCATGTTGGAGATTTAAAGCATCAACAATAATAGCTTAGGTCTTTCCTTTCTGTCCTATTCCAATTTTCCTGAGCAGATGATGTGGCCTACTATCAGATCCTAGGAAAATTCTTCCAATAATGGCCACTTTCCCATTCCTAAACTATGGCATTCCTCAGGGATGGTCTAGTTGATCTCCCCATAAAGGTGATTGGACTCTTCAGCCACCAAGTTTCACTAAGGTGCTCTCTTATCTTCAGAGAAGGGTCATTCAGACTCCCTGCTATTTCAGAACAAACACAGGCAATGCTTCCAAGAGTATATTTGAGTCCAAGATCCATCCTGCATGAGACTGCAGTTAAGACTGTACCAGTTCATGTTATAGCACAGAAGGAGCAATCCTGCCTGGCTGCCTCCTGCATGGCCACCAGATGCCTTTTTGGATCTATCATCTGCATACTGTGTTTTAGTAACTGTCCAGAACAATGTATGCTCTTGCTCCCTGCATCTGTATGCAAAGCTTCCACATGATCCAAAGCCCACTAAAAACAGTGAATAATAGATTTGCCTAAGAAGTTAAAAAATGAGAGATCACTAGACCAAGGAGAACTCCTGGGTGTGGTGACAGTCCTTAAGACTGCTAGTTTGTGCCAGCATGGCAGCAATGCTTTTGCAGGGTTGCCACAGAAATGGTTTTCCTCCTAGGTCTAAATCACAGCCTGTGGCAGTGTTTCCTGATAAATGGGCTGCTGGAGCCACTGCAGCCACTATGTGTTATCCTCTTTGTACACAGTCATCTAGACCACCTGCTGTCTCCTAAGAAAAGACAGTGGTGTTTAGAAGGCAGTCCTGCCCGTCTCCATGCTGTACCCCTCATCCTTTCCCACAGGAGAAAATGGCAAAGAGCTTTTCAATACCTGAATTATTCTTGTAACTGCCAGTTCTCTGTCCAAATCCCTGAACATAACTTTGCCCTATCTTTGTGAAGCTTCAGGTAAGGAGCAGGACATGTGTATACATCCACTCAAATAGCGTGGCAAAGTTGTCTTAAATGTTTCTTCCACCTAGAGACAACTTCTGGTTTGATTAAAACATGTAAATGTATTTAATCATGAGAAAGAAGCAGATCATAGTGGTCTTCTGTGTTGTTGTTTTTTTTTTTTTTCCCTCCTACATAAGTCAAAGTGGCTTATATATGTGAGATCCAGCTGTGCTTGCTCACATCTCTGATACTCAGACTGTACTTTGAAGCTACTCCTGCCCTGAAATCACACTGTGTATATCCATTACAAGCTGTAGGGAAGAATTAATCAAATAAAACCTGCTGCTAAGCGAAAGCATATCACAACTTACCTCTCTCTTCTTACATATCTTATGATTATTGCAGAATTGTAAAGTCCCTTTTTTGTTTCTTTGAAGCAAATTTACAATAGCCCCAGTAATTCCTCTGCACTTGAGAAGAAGTAAACCTTTTCCACTGCTGCAAGTCTCTAAAATGTCTACAAAGGGTCCTCTGCTAAGCTCTGTCCTCATGGTTAGCAAACATTAGCTGTGAACTGGAAGTTAGCTGGGTCACCTTTTATCTGTGTGCTGGTGGGGTACCAATATCAGTTCATCTCAGATGTTATAATTTTAAGATCTTTTTTTAAATTGCAGTAGTATTTCCAAACATTTTCAGCACACAAAGAGAAAATAATGTCGGTGTTTTGAAAGTATATTTACAATGTATTGTTGGTCCCCATTTATGTCAATCTCGTTCAGCTTGCCTGCATGAGAAGTTAGGCTAGTTTCTCCTGATGTTTACTTTGGTCTTCTGGAAAGCAACAAGGAAGCAGGAGGGAAAAAAGAACAGATCAAGAAAAGTATCATAAATTGACAAGAAGAATGAGTTCTTCCCACTTTTTCAGAAACTAACTTTACTTTCATATGCAAGTGGATCTTGCAGGCAATGTAAAAGCTCAGCTTTGCTTTCTGAGCACATCCTTTTATTGAATCTCTACCCATCAGTGCCTAGCCCTGGTGCATAGCCCTGTGATGTTCGTTTCTCTATAAACACAAAACACAAGAAATTATTCTGTGTGTATTCTTGTCAAAATCAAAGAAATCAGAAACGTTTTCAGTGTGAAGTAAAAGAAGAGTCTTTCTTTTCAGAAACAAGAAGTTATGACTATTTAAATTTCACTAGGATGATGTTCATTGGGATCATCAGTCATAATTTTTTCTGTTTTTATTAACTTACACATACACACAAAAAATGCCTTTCATGGATGAAAAATATCTTGCTTATTCACAAGCCTCGTAGAAATAAACATTATTTTATATGTATGTACTGCTAGCAGCGAGGATTTTATTTTTCAAGCAATGTGCCAAGTTTTCATTAGTCAAAGTGTGAAAAATCCCATTTGCTCTGTTTTGGAGAGTTCATACTGCAAGCATTTAGAGAGTAATTTACTGATCTTTCAATCAGTGAAGAAAGGATCACCCTGGGACTTGGCCAGCCAAGTGGAGCTCAAGGGTTGTACTTTTAATCCTCAGCTTCTTAACCCTCCCTTTGCTTGACTTTGGGCAAACTGCTTCATTTGTCCTCATCTTGAATGCCCACAGACAAGGACTAGGCTTTCCAATCATTAATTTGTTCAGGAGTATAAAGTTAATATATATCAGATGCTAATACAGCAATAGCCATTGGTCAGACCCTTCAAGCTAGATAAATGGAGGCAATCCATGGTCTGAACATAAGTTTTGAACAAGCTCCAGAGCACAACTGGGGCGAATCTTTGGTTTCACTCTACAGCATCACACAAAACTAAGAAGATATTTCTGTGTACTTAGATCTCTTTCTGTTTGGAGTCCAGGTCTTTTCATTCCAAGCCTACTTTGTTTGAGAGGTGATAAAGAGAGGAAAGCACTGCAGTGTGCTCTCTGAAGAGGCCACTTAAGAGGCAGTAAGGAATCATGGGGTAAGTAGAGCTATCAGGGACTGGCTTTAGTTTGATGGATTTAGCTCCATGAAGTTGTGTAGAGATACCATGAGTACATAAACAGAACATGAGCATGAGGTGTTGTTCATACCTATGCTGGGGACTTGTTTCCCATATTCCTCTGTGTAAAACAGGAAAAGCATAAAAGCCAACATGAGTAAGATCAAACCCTCTGCTTATTCAGACATAAAATATTCCCTGAGTCCCCAGAGTTACATGGGCTAGACCTAGGAGACTGCTTTCTTTCTCAGAAATGATGTTGCCAAGTTCTGGACAGAATTTACAGAACAAATCTCTTGGTATTGTAATTCATTGCAAAGGAGACCTAAGTTTATCAGCTGAATTATAGATGATGGAGCCTTATATCAATTCTTTACATGTCCTTTTTGGCTTTTTTGTTGTGTGCGTGTTCCTTCTCTGTCCTCATCAAGGTGCCTAATGAAAGACTTAAATCCATTTTCACCCTCTTTAGAGGCACCAACAATAAAGCAAATGAAATATTAGTCGTTCTGAGTAGTAAATTTACAGCAAACAATAACAAATCCATGAGAATTTGTATGGCCTTTTGCCAAAGAAACCAAGGATTTGGATCTGTATACTGAAAAATGTATGCATATCTATTCTGGTGCTTAAGGAGCTGTGGGAAATGCTTTTTTTTTTTTTTTTTTTTTTTTTTTTTTAAGGGAAAAGAGAGGAGAGTAGCTAAAATCACCTACAACCCTCCTTTTAAAATCTGAAAGTCATCAGAAGGTTCAATCTTTATGAAAACTTTCTAATGCCTTTATCTCTCTCTTTAACTATCTGAGGTAATGAAGGTATGACAAGAATGAAAGCTTCATACAATCAAGCAGGCAAGATTCCTACTGTTCATGGGACAGTGACCCGAAGCTCAGTGTCAGTGTTGAGATAAGAACTACAAGCCTTACCAGATCCTCTCCTGAAGGAGCCACGGAAGATGGTGAGGTATTTCCTTCTTTTGAACTGTGGCAACATGTATCAGCGCTCATGAAACTGAACTGCACCTGGTCTCTTGCAGATTGCTCATTTTCTTTTGATAGTAGTCATCTTGCTGCCTAAAATGCAATGTGTTATCCTTTCAGTAAGCTGCATGCTCACCAGCTAACTGTTCCATTGGATATAGTTTACCCCTCCTATTCTTCCTCGGTTACTTTTCTTGTGCCTTGGTCATATTCACAGTAGAATAAATGAGATACCAATATCAAACCAACCCAGAGCCTACTGAGATTTCCTTCTCTAGACTTGAATGAGTGTTCTGAGAAACATCTTGAGAATGATGACTTGCTACTGCAGTCTTTTTCTTCCTTTGTATTTTCCAGGCAGCTCTGGACTGCGTGGCTCAGTGGGTACGGGAACCTACCAGACCTCTAAATGGGCACAGTTGTGGATCATGTCTTTTACTAAGCTTGCTCTGATATTTTTGGTAAATTCTTGCGATGTCCTCTCCAATTCTCATTTGGCTATGCATGTGAAAGTCTTCACACGTGTCTGCAGTCAAATGCTAGCCATGTTTTCAATCAACACGACTCATTTTTTAAATTATGGCTGTGAGAGTTTTCAGGTTGTGCTGACGAGCCCGGTACTATTAAAAAAAAAGCCTCAGACCAGTGTGTTTTGGGGAGGAGAGAGAAACTGACATCTATTCTGGGAAGGAAGAAGCAAGAATACCAAGATCTGGCAGCCTGGTCTGTGTTTGCTCCAATGATGCATCGCCATGTGCTCTTTGGTAACGCTGCCCTTTCCGTGCCACATGCGGATTGCCAGATGAGGAAGCTTGGCCCAAAATAAAAGCCAGGCTGCTTTTCATCTCTGGGATTTGTTTGTGCCAAGCGAACAAAGTGACTTCTTTGTGGCTGTTTGCATTTGTCGTTCCAAGTTGTCTGAGCACGAGGTTATAAATACGCACCAGGGTTTGATAGCCTCAATATGTCCAGTCGGACAAGCCTTGCGTGCTGGCAAGAGAAGGATTTGGCTTGCCTTAATTATTTTTGTTTTAATAGTTTTTAAAATGTTTGATATAAATCAAAGATACTGTAAATAAAACTCATGAGGACGGGGTTCCTCCCTTAGCCATTTTGTAGATTGGGTTTCTGACCTGTGATTATTGGCGAACTTTCTGTTTCATATTTGTATTCTTTGCAGTCATGTATGTAAAGGGATGCTGTCAAGTTAGGTATGTAATGTAATGTCAGTGACATTCTTAGATTGCTTTTCGTAGGGAAATGAAATGATGTCAGTATTCTATCAACTTACCTCCTCTTTGAGGAGATGCAAAGTATGAGAGGAACGTGAGGCGCTGAGTTGTTCTGAGCTGTGCCTTAGGACTGCTAATAGCCAAGGCTGCTGCCCTGGGCTGGTGACAAGAAGGCCCATTAATCAGCAGTGACTGAGCAGTCTGGGGTAAATCCTGAGCCTTGGGGACTGTTAGCCAAATCCTGACTGCTTCATTTGGGAATGTTCAACTTACTCGATTTTTTTCTGTGCTCACCCTCAGCCCCCACCGCTGAAAAGTAATACTGGTGAAAAGTGCCTCATTGGGAATATAATTTTATGGAAAACATTTTATTTTTGTATCCAAATCTTCCAGTCAGTGTAGGGTTTTCCATTTGCTTTTAGCAAAGGCTGTTTTTCACTATTTTTCTTGTCCAAAATTCTTATTAAGAAACTGAATGCTTTTACCAAAAATGGGCATCTTTTCCTTCTCCTTCACCCCCTTCTCCATGCACAACATCCTTCAGACCCCTGAAAACAATCTAATTGAAAGAAAGCACATTTCTGTTAAAAATTTCCCATGGAAATGATTTTGTTGTGGTTAATGTCTGTTCTGTCTCTCTTCTGTCTGGAGCTGGAAGAAAATTCCTCAAAATCATTATCAGCCAGTGCATCTCTATAGCCTGAGTGAACTTCTAAACATCTCATTTATTCCTTAATGGAACAATCCAGAAACCATAACTGTGGTCTCTGGCTTATTTGTAATTTGTATACTGAAATAGATATTTGAACAGTGATTTGGAAATCGAAAATTGGTCAAAGATCTTACTTTTAAGACTTGTGTCAAAGAAAATGCATTTACTGGTTGCAGCAATATGCTGTGCATTGTATGTATGCATACACCCTTATATATATGTGTGTGTGTGCGTGTATCTACTAAGTACATACAGTTGGAAGTGAAAGATCATGGGATAAGTTTTGTATGCTGAATTTTAGTGTTTCTTGGTATTAAGCTTCATCCTGAGAGCAGTGACCACCCTAGGCAGGAGGCAAATGGGCCCAGGTCTGTTTTATGCAGTGCATGTTTCTTTTTTTGCATCCTCGTGCAAAAAGAAACTATAGTGCCCTGTACATGTGTGATAGCACAGGAAGATGCATGCTGTATCTGTGTGGACTGAGTGGACTGAAATGGGCAGATTCAACCTGCTGCAGACTTTCTAATGTAGTATGAATGAGTACTTACAGAATCTGGCCCACACGTGAGAATAGATGCTTGGATATGTGTCCCTTTGCAAATGCAGTCTGTGGCAATGGGCTTCTTACTTGCAATTATTCCTCCGTGTGTAAGTTAGGAGGCATATAATATAAATTGAAGCCTAATTTTTTCTTTGAAGCTATTAACACCCACCCACATGCAACAGGAAACAGACTTCAATTTTAATTAGTACCAACACATTGAAAATTCACCCTATATTTGCCTTCAAATGCAGCAAAGCAGCTTCAAAGCTAAAAGCTTCTTCACTTTCTAAGTAATAATGAGGTATTAATGAGGCAATTAGGGGCTTGTAAACATGGTGTCAAAGAGATATGAACTAATCACCAGCAACAGGAAAAAGACAGATCCCTCTGACTTCAGTGCTCTGCACTCTCCCTAGCCCCCTGAGGCATTCTGTGCTTGTAAACTAATCCGCAAAAATGTTCTAGATTAATTCAAAACACTATCCTCCTTTTAATTCCCTGACTGTCTTCAGGCTTGTTTCTGAATAGATGCTCTGTGTGAAGGCTTTTAAATAGGCACTTTTGTTATTGCAATAAAACCCAGATTGAAGTTCTCTTGCGCTAAGCTGTCAATTTATGTTTGGCTCCCTTCTTAGATCCATATGAAATATTTCTAAATCATTTGTTAGAATACTTCTTCCAGTTTATTTCCTTCTAGTCTATATAAATAAATTTTAAAAAAGAAGCAAAACATAATTTAATTAGAACCGACAAACACCATTTTTTTTTTCCTTGAAAATGTTAGTGTTGAAACTAAATACACCGGTTACATCCTAGAGAGATGCAGATGAGGCAGGGACAGCTATTTCCCCTCGCAGATTTTTTAGCTGGGGTGTTGGACTAGGATTTGCAAGATCAGGATTCTGATCGCACTAATTTGCTGTGTGATTTTATGAGAGTCACTTTTATGACTCTCATTTCTTTGTAGAAGTACGGCTCAGATTTGCTCTAAGTAGTGCCTCACATCAACCTGCTTTCTGTTGCTGAAGTGAAAGTCACAGCAGGTTTATCCAAAGTAAGGCATTAAACGTGGTCCCACCTTCATGACGCGTTTTGAAGTTGTTCCTATTAGAAAATGTCTTTCCAAATAAGCCTTTCTTCTTTTTTAAGTGAAAGAGGAGAAAAAGAACTATGGGAAAAATGTTTCGGGTATTGACAGGACTCCAGGAGGTGAGGCTTCAGGAAGAGCACTTCCTAAGCTGGGAGCAAACATCTCTTTACTCAATCTCAGATGTGTAAGCTTCGAACCTTCATGTGACGGCTGAAGTTCTGACCTTGCTCCTTCCTTTGAATTATCTCCACAGATGGTATTGCTTCACAACCAGAAGTACTACTGATATGGGGGAGGATTTTTGGATATGGCCTGTTGTCTCCTGGAGATTGGGGTGAAACTCCATATCCTTTCTCTGCGTGATCTCATTACAGTCATCTCTCTAGGGGTGAAAAGTGAGTTCACTAAACCAGCTTATTGTGAAAAAATATTTTGAAACATAACACATTGTGGTTTGATCCTGCATTCTCACAGGTATATGTTGGAAATCACTTGATTTAAGTCAGTAACATGTGTGCTAAGCTCTCAGAAGTGAAAACAGAACAGAGACCCTCATAGTTTTTCCTACATCAGGAATTTGATCTAATCCACAGGAAAACTGTACACAAGTTCAACAGTCCAGCACTTTGCCTGATGGTGTACAATTGATTATAATTCTGGAGTTCACCCTCGATAGACCAGTTAAAGTGGTCTCCAATATTTTCTGACAATGATGCTTATATAGATGGTGGTGGTGAAATCACATCTGCCAATGTGAAAACCAGAGCCGGCCTCTCCAGAAGTTCAGCTTATTGTCTGAATCTTCTGCAGTGTTTTATTCTCGATACGAAATACCTCTCATAGGATCTGGTTATGAATGCTTTATGTGTTGCAGTAGAGATTCCAGAGTATTCAATACTATTGCAAATGGCTCACTTTTAGACATTAGATAGCAGAATTTCATCAGATATCTCTCTCATGTAAAGCAGATTTGGAAAAAAGCAGTCTTTATTAAAATCTCTGAACGGTGAAGAATCAGCTGCACCCTATGTTCCTGTGCAAATTAATGATGTCTCTCTCTCACTATTCACAGTGGGAAAGCTTTTGCCTGTATTTGAATATAACCAATTCTTTTTTTTTTTTTTTTCCTGGATATAAGCTTTTGTTACGGCATCACTGTCAAAGCAAAGGAGCTCTTGGGTATCCCATTGTGTTTGTGGTGGCAGTCTTTGGGGAAGATACCACCCATTCCATGCAGCATGTAAATTCTCAAACCACAAGCACGTACACTCCTGGCTTTCACCCAGACCTTTGTGCCTGGGAGCCCACAGCCATGTGATGATTTTGGTGTGTGGCTTGTGGGGCTAGGAAGGTTGACACGTGTGAAGATGTTTCTAGTTCTCGTTAAGGAAACACGCATAGGCCAATGTCACAACCTTTCCAATATTTCTTTCCCATGCACAAAAGCCAGAATCTTTGACTATGTTAGGAGGAGACCACAGCTACAGGCATCAGCTGCAAACACATCATGCATGGTTACTTCCAGTCAAAGTGCCTAAAGCCTCTGTCTCCTTCTGGGAGTTTAGAGGCATTTGGGACTGGTTACCCTAACTGCAGCTGGCCAAGAAATCTCTTGTTTGGCCCAAATAGTCTCATAGAGGAGGAGAACCCTGCTGTCCTGCATGAAGCAGAGACCAAGGTGTGGGAGGGGGCAGTCAGAGCATCCTCATTTCCACGTGTGAGATGCAACAGACCTGCCTTGTTAGCTCAGAGGTCTCCGGTGCTTGAGACATTACCTTCCCTTCACCTCTTTCCTTCCTCTTCCCTCGTGTTAATCCTACATAACTCTCTCTGCTTTTTCCATATTGGTGGGGATCTTAAAGACCCCTACAGTTCTGCTGGGCCTCTCCTGTTTGTGTGCAATAACACAGGATGGCTGGACCATTAACACCTTCTCTGAGCACAGCATGTTGGAGTTGCAACGCTTTCCTGCCTGGGCTCCCTTGCCAAAGTGTATTATGTATACATGCTCAATTCTTCTTTAAAAATCCCAGATAGAGTTTTCTTTTCTCTTTTCCTTGAATTTTGCGTGTGTTTTTGCTGTTGGTATCCATGGGATTTTTACTTTGTCATTCCTTAATAGAGACTGGGGTTGGTTTTATATATTGCTGTCCTTCCCTCCTCCCCCCCACCACATTGTGGTTTGTGTAAGGCTGGTGACCTAGAAGATAAACCATCAAAGCTCAGAATCTGTTTTCATTTGGTTGGATACAGAACTTCTGCCTCTTCCCATACATCAGGAAAGTGATACAAGTCACAGGCTAGGATAGACAGAAAGCATTTGTAATATAGCACTAGCAAGAGAAAGCAGATGCCATGAGCAGTCATGTGAGTTGCAGAGATGATAAGCCCAGAAAGAGATTGAAATTTTGCTGGTGGT